CTTCCCAGTCATCGAATGTGTCGCCATATACCCTCGTGTTGGCTTTCGGCATGGGCTCTCAAGACCATACTTAATGATTGATAATACTACGTCTTGCTGAGCTACCTAGAAGAGTCCTCCTTCATGATCCACTCCTCACTAGTCGCATCATTGGTGACAACACCCGGCGAATCATAACCATCGCGCAGCTTCTCATCTCTGTTCACTGAGATACCAGACCCAGACACAGTGCCGATGCTAGCTTGTGGCACCTCCTTTCCACCTGCAGCCCAAGCGCGGGCGCTTCCCGCATGTTTCGCATCCGTGAACTCGTAATCTTCACTATGATCCGACGGCTTGCCCGCGCCTAGCTTGAATAGTTTGGAGTTTCCAAACCGAAAGGGAGACTTGCGCCAGGATGCTCCGCCGGAATTTGCTGCGTTGCCGCCGTGTGCCGCCGATGGTCCAGCAAAGATTCCAGGAGCCATCATCGCTAGAAATGGACGGAGACAAGGTAGACAGCCGCTCATGATACCAACGTTGAACTCGATGCACAATGCCATAGTTACCCGAGATGCAACCCCTGCGAGAAGGCTAGGTTAGCACGATGACAGTCTATTATGGAACGGTACTGCTCACATGTGGTATCCCATGTCCTGAAGTAATCCTGCGACCATACGACCTTCAAGATGCCACCAACGCATGTCAGGACACCGAAAGAGAAAACCGCGACCAGATGCACGCGTTGTGATAGCGGCAACTTGACCTGCCACAGTGGCGCGACTGGCCAAAGGAACACCACAAAGTCCGACACTACATTGCAGATGCCGCTCGCGGTGAGTAATTGATGCGAGTCCAAACATACTTTGTCAACAATCGTGAAATCCCAGAGTGACTGGATTGGACTGGGACAGATAAATTAGTCAAAATCGAACATCTGCCCTGGCGTTATGACCTACACGCATTGCAGAATGTAGAGTGCCGACGAAATGACACCCCACAGAAGCTGGTACCCGATCATTGTCCAACAGAACAATTTGTTCGTGCGCGAGGGGAAAAGCTTCAGGTACGTCATACAGACGGAAAGCTTTGTGAGTGTCATGGAAGCATTGTACATTGTGACACTCGCAACGTTGTACTAGAAGCCATTAGTATGTATGTAGAAACCACTGCTAATTGCTTACTTTTGCAGAGCTCACAAACGTCATCGGGTTCACATCATACAGATGACGCCCAAGAGAGTTGGTGGTTGTAACTAATAAGCACACAGAAATCGCTAAGGCGAAGAGCTACACATGTTAGATATGTAGCATAAGAGCATAGGGCGAACATACCGCTGCGCCAACCATAATCCAGTCATCGGCTCCTACACCTGACTTCTGGTTCGCCCGAACGTAGATTCTGCCAGCGACAAAAAGCACCATTGGGATGGTTGTCGCGTATATTGCAGCTTCGACACTGCCCCTTTGCGAGACTGGGTCGACATAGTTGGGTATTGGCCATGTTGCGATGATGGCTGGCGTGAGCGCGGTTCCAGAGGCCATGATTATGCTGGGATCAAGGTTCGTGATATGTGTATGTTGGGGATTGTAGTGCCACAATGTTTGGTTTGTGTCACAAACTTAGAGGCCACGTGCACGGCATGTACACAGGAGTGTCGAGATTTACAGACAAATCTTGAACTGCAGAGACCGTGAAGGCTAAGTATCTCGATGCAAGATGGTGCTGACCTTGATTTCAGAACGCTTGCGGGTTCGCGTTTGTCGCTCAACCTTGCTGGACGCGTCGTGACTGACACCGGATCTGACTCCGCTGTTAGACAGCGTGCTGCCAACGCTATCTCGTTAGTGCACGCCATCGTGCCCAGTACGCGAAAGTAACCTTCGAGTCGCCAATCAATCTACCGTGATAGACGATCAGGCCTCCTCTTTGCACCGATTTCAAGTTTACGGGCTTTTGCATGATTGTCATCTAACCACGTTACTAGTAGATCAGTGCATCAGCGATCGGCTTGTGGGTAATGTATATACTTGCAGCGACTACTAAAATCGGTGTCCCCTTTTTGAGAACCATCCGGGGCTATTCGTCTGTCGGGTGATGAAGCTGGCAATATATGATACATTTTCATTTGTGAGAGTCGAGTCGTCGTCATATCATACGTATGCAGCAGTACAAGCAGCGTAGAGCACACCAATCTCTATAATGTGACAGGTCCCCTCGGCAATCACGAAACAGTATAGTCAAAACATACCTAGGTATGCATCTACCTAGGTATGCTTGCAGCCGATTGCACTCATCTCTCGCGCCATGTCGTACAGACATCATCGAGATGCGGCCTCGCCAATCGGACTCGGGGCCGTGAGCGTGTGGATATGCGTGAAATCTCCGTTCCACGGTCCGGTGCACCTTAATAGCCCGCTGTCTAGGCTGGTACCTGACGCTAACTCACCTGAAACACATGCGGGTCATCTAAGCCGCCACAAGTCGAAGCACGCAAACGAGCTGTGTGACATGCTCTTGGGACTGTCCACCACGTTTATCGCGTGCGAAGGAGCTCCCCGTAGTCGCATGATCCCCAGCGTCATGCCCTTGATGGAGGACCGCGGTAGGAACCTAGGTGTCATTGGCCTCTGGGTGAATTCGACTGCTCGCATTCCCTGCCCAGGTAATCAAGCCTAACAACTTACAACCCGCTTGCAACATCTGTTTACGAGTCAAGAAGCGCGCGATCTCGGTATGACAACCTGGTAACGCGCAGAATGCTTATCGCGCATGATGGCTACCTGGTGGCTGGGTGCAACGCCCCCGCTCCCGCAATCCCCGCGGCGCTCTTTCCGATTGGGTCGCATACAAGTTTGCGGTTTCCCCGACCTGTACTATCACATAGTCGCCGACATGCTGGAAGACAATATCCCTTTGCGACCCCCGCAATCACGATGTTAGACCATGAGGCGTTGGTATGGGGGGCCTTGGGCCGTCAACCCTGTGCAGGCTACCTAGGTATGCTGCCTCCCGAAGTTGGAACCTCGAATTGTCATTGAACACTGAGATGGGTTACTGGTCTTCTCTGACAAACACTTCATACCTACCGTTCACACCGTGTAGGTATTCGAAGAGCCTTTCATACCAAGTGGCACAGCTGAGAACACTAAGATAACTAAAGGATACGATGCGTTCAAGGCCGTCGAACAGCAAGCCACCGCTAGCACGACTCAACATTAAGATAGGCCGCTTGCGATCTACATACACCTTGGGTATTACCGCATGAGCAGCCAAACTTAAGTACCTGCTGAGCGGTTTCGCCGAAAGATATACATCTAAGGCTACAGTAGCCTCACGCGATCTCGTCTGCACCTGGTATGTACCGATCGCAGTGTAACACTTCACCAGCTGAATTGACCATTTGCAGCTGCAGTTCACTGCTACCGATCCTTGATCTATAGTGTGTAGCAAAGTAGACTTCCAACGTACGAGCGATAGTCTGAAGCGGTCAACCCAGATCTGAGCTACGCCAGTCATGCTGTGCAGTTGAAGCCACCTGCTTGAACTTCTTACCAGTGACTCTTTCCTATAGCATCCAAGGAAACCCTCCTATCTCCATGCCATACATCCACCGTCCAACGAGCACCGTCATTCCTTGCTTGGAACGTCCACCTTCCGTTCAAAAGCGCCCCCATTGCTGATATCTTGGCCCTTGTGCTGCATCTCTTCTCCATCCTCCAGTTCCACACCCTTGAAGACATACGACCCCATACAAACAACAAAGCCTGCCAATTCGAGAGACACCCCCTGCACCGTGCGAGAATGAACGTGTAACATCGTATCCCAGTCTGCAAGACCAGAATGCGCCTGATGCAAGCGCAGTGTTTGCGTAAGAACGTGGATGCCTAGAACGACAAGAGAAAGGCCAGGTATATACGCGTAGCGCCACGGAACGAGCTTAGCGATGCTTCCGAGGACCGTGTTTGTGCGCTTTGCAGAATCGGTCATGACTCTCATATCCGGCAACTGCAAGTCCCTGAAGGTGAGCCAGATCACACAGAGATGGGCGCCGGCATGAGATACAAAGTACCCAAAGACGAGGACGAGCCAGATCAAGAATTTGTAGTATCCGCCTGGGTCCTGGTGCGTGCAAACTGTGTGCAATGCGTGGCCGAAAGTGAAGAAACCGAGCAGCAGGATGTACAGTCCGGGTATGTAGAAGTAGCGGAAGGGGATGCGATAGAGGACTTGGAACGTTACATTGTTTGTTGTTGAGATGTCGTCCATTTTCAAACGCGTGTAGATGTGTTGTAGATGCGTGGTAGATGTGTGGTGTGTTCTGGTAGATAGTCGCCCCTCCGGATGAGACGGCACAGTGATCCGAGGAAGTCATGCAAGCTGTGCCGCATAGCCTCGTTGAAATGGATTTTCAGTATGACAGGATGCAAACGAAGGCACGTCTTGCAAGCTAATCGGTAAGACGCTATCAATTGGTTCATTCTGCACCCGACTGTATCCACCACCTGACAGTATCAGAGCGACTCAGCTCACTGAACGGTCTGGCAACCAGTCTCCAGAATGCAAGAATGTCGGTCAGCCCGGGTTACCTGCAGTCATCAGCAAGCAGTCCATACGGTAATCCAGAACCTGTCTCATGCGATTTCAACACCACTGCTATGCGTTGATCAAAACCGGTACAAAGATGGCTGGAGTCGGATTGATCTAGCGGCACTGCGCACTTGCTCTTCCCATCCAGAAGAACATCTTTGGGGCTTGGAAGCAGCGGTACAATTGCGCAGGCTTGCTTCTCGAAATGATAAGCGAGTTTCCGAATTAGGATTGAAAAATGGAAAGCCCGAGTTTGGTAGCGATAAAGTGCAAGATGCTCAATTAGAATGTAAACTCGATTGATTAGAGGTCTAGCTCATTCTACACGACGCTCTCATGATCGTAGTATGTTGAGCCTAATGAATGGTAATAGCACACCAAACCGATTGCCCGTAATGACCTACACTCATGTGTAGTGCAGTGACTCGCTTCTAGATGAAAGCCTTCTGAAGCTCCTCGTTCCGTCGATCACGGTGTCTGTGGCGGTCTCCATCGCGTTCCCTACTCTTGCTATGAGCTCGTCGCTTTTCGCTGCGATGCGAAGGCCTATGGTCGTGCCTGTCACCGCTACGACTCCGGCTCCTATGGCGATGCTTCTGGCGCGAGGATGAGCAGGCCTCCTTCTTGGGCGTCTGATGCTCGTCTTCGTCCACTTCCCGCCTCTTCCTTTTAAGATGCCGACTCCTCCTCTCCTCCCGCTCTTGGGCTGACCGCAGCTCCATTAGCTCACGGTCACGCTCTGCAGCCCACTGCTTCCTGTCCTGCTTCGACTTCTTCAGTTGTGTTTGTGCTTTCTGCATGAAGGCGAAAGGGTCGTTCATAGATATGCGGGCCTGTTCCCGTTCTTTGCGACGCGGGTCCTCGTTGCCCCACACATCCTTGTTTGCGAAACCTTCATAGAGTACCATGTCCTGTTTGTCCCCAGTGGTGGATGCCGGCTTTTGTACAGCGGCGTACCAGGGTCGGTCGATGCCACCCCTTCCTGCGGCATTGGAGAAACGCATTGTGAATTGGTCTTCGATGGCCTTTTCTTTCTTGCGTTCTTCCTTCTCTGCGTCCGCATTTCTCTCACATTTGATGGCCTCTTTCATGTCCACCGGGAACAAGTCAATGTGACCGGCATGGTCCTCCAACGGAGCGTCTGATGCGGTGCTCCGTAGCTTGAGCACTTTCGCGTCTTTTGCATCATCTCCAGGTCGAGCCGTGATGGACTTGGCCATACGTATATCGGCGTCGGTATCATCCTCGCCAGCAAGCCTCCTCCTCTTTCTGTCGTGTCCGCAGTCATCTGTGTTGCCTGAGCGCCTCGATGGCGCCTTGGTGGGTTCTTCTTCTGGTAGTGGCGGGGGCGTCCGTCCTCGAAGGATGGCGGCACGTCGCTCGGCGTCGAGCTCTTGCTTGCGCTGGTCATCCGCGGCTTCGCGGGCAGCAGCGGCGGCCTCGTCGGCCTTGACCCGCGCGATGTTGTCCGAGTTGTAGACGTTCCATGACTTTTTGCCTAGCAGGTGCCTGTGAGATTGTAAGCGACTGTGGTGCGAAAAGTGTGGTGGTGGGATACTTACAGAGGCATGGCGACGAATCTCAAGGACACAGAATCAGAGAGTGAAGTGTGCCGTACATGGTCGGACTTGCGAGCTTCTTAACTGTGGGCAGCGAGGTCGGGCGCGGAAACATCGCGGTACCCGTCGACGCGAACGGGAGCTGCCTTGCATTAGCGTCAAGCGGGGAGGGCAAGCGCAAACCATGGTGCCTGCCTTCATTCCAGCTCCCCCACACTGCTATTGGCATAGACCAAAAAGGCAACTGGGGCTTTTCCTCAGATTCATCGCATTGATCGTGTCGATCTGGTCTCGTTCTCCTAAGCCAACGCTTGCAGCGATTGTGTCGTTGCTTCTTCCTAGCGTGCGCCCATTCGCGGAAGGTTCTCCCAACCTCTCTGGGCGTCGTCTAGACCTCTGCATGAGCTCCCAATACGCGATCCCTGCCTACATAACAGGACGTGTAAGACCATGTACTACTTGCAACTAAAAGTTTGCTGAAGACGCCATCATCCACACCAATGCTTGCATTCTCGTTCGGTACATCCTAACTAATCGTTAATTGTTGCTTTTTGGCTCGACTTCATCCTACGGCACTCCTCTTCCGAAACGGAGACTTTAGACGAAAAGCACTTCACCTCACCATGCCAACCTGGCTCGTTCATGGCTTTCGGTGGCCCCGCGCCCAAATTCGCATTCATGTTATTCTGCAGAATCTCGACGATGCTGCACCGGAATGGCTAATGGCTCCTGCCACCACAGCCTGTCTGATACAGAACTTCAAGAGCCAATGGCCCCAAGAGATGGCTGCGCTACCTGATTTACGCTTCATCGAACAGTACGACCCCGATGATCTCACCGTCAAGGATCAACCATACGCATATGTGTGCGATGTTGTGCATGAGATCAGACTCGGAGCAGATGTCGAGGAGATGAGGGGAGCGGGGCTGGGAGATGACCAGTGGGCGGCCATTGCAGACCTCCGGGACAAGGTGGCGCCAGGAGAGAAATTGGGGTGGTTCGTAGTAGTCAATGGCGATGTCGAGAGATGGGCTCCGCCGCTGGAGGAAGAAGACGACGACATAACCCCAGAAGCCAGCCATGTATCAAGTCACAGGAGCAGCATGGCACAGTCGGATTCAACCCGCAACAAGGAACAAGAACGCCCTTCTTCCAGCCGGAGTTTCAAGAAGTGGTTCGGAGGAAAACTGAGGAAAACGAAGAGGCAAGCTGAATCATAATCACATTGGTGTAGACGTATGCTAACCTGCTGTAGTGGAAGGAACCTGAGAGGTGATACGCTAGAGGAGCCGGTTCCACCATTACCGCCAATCTCACCCCGTTATGCCCTTCAAGCTTCAAATGGAAAGGCGCCCGCACAGCAGAAGACGGCATCGTGATTCCTGGTGATAGACAAGTTGATGAGCATGGTGTATCACGTGGTAACCAATAGACACGCGTGTGGTTGCTGGAATACCTAGATACTATTTCGCGCAGCAGTTTGTGATTAGAATACAGATAGTTCTTTAATTCTGTCTCCAACCGATGGCCTGGGCACACAGCTAGCTGTAGCAAGGCCTACTCACAGCCACTGTGCATGTCTCTTACTGTGTGTGCCCGTCGCAAACTCACCTTTTGGGTTAGCGTTGGCTGTGCTTCCGCGCACGTGACACGCGATTGCCTAGCTCAAATTATTATCCAAGTCGCGACCAACGCTTCAAACACGCCGCCTCGGCACCACTGCCACACACTTTACTGCTGATTTCACCAGGGAATTCCTCACTCGCGACCACCGAGTCTCTCCCTGTAATATCGTCGTAGTTTCCGTTCGACCACTGCTCCGTCCGACGTCGTAAACCTTGCGCAACTTGCGCCGCGCTCCAGCCAGAGCCTGCAACTACCATTCCTGGTCAACACCCCCAGAACCACCGCCAAGATGAGTCGACGCGACTTTCTGTCGATGCCCGCGCCCGAGAACTATGTGGCTGGTCTCGGAAGAGGAGCCACTGGCTTCACAACGCGAAGCGATCTCGGTCCCGCGCGGGAGGGTCCCTCGGAGGAGCAGATGAAGGAGATGCTAGCAAAGCGTGCAGCATCGCTAGGCCAGGCAGCTCCCTCGGCGTATGGTGTCACTGAAAAGAAGGAGGAAGAGAGGGACGAAGAGGAGGATCGGTTTCAAGATCCCGACAATGAAGTCGGTCTCTTCTCAAGCGGCATGAACTACGATAAGGACGATGACGAGGCCGACCGCATATATCAGGAGGTTGACGAGAAGATGGACAAGCGACGCAGAGCCAGAAGGTTAGTACCCTCACTTTCATTTACCCTATGCCCCCTCCCCTCCCCTCTATCGTTATTTTCGAAGTATTCATCGTGTGTTTTTCCACGAACAGATACCGATTGTGTCCGCCCTAGGGAAGCTCGCGAGCAACAAGAACGAGACGAATACGAACGAAACAACCCCAAAATCCAGCTCCAGTTTGCCGATCTAAAACGAGCCCTCGGCGGCGTCTCAGAAGAAGAATGGGCAGCCCTACCCGAGGTCGGAGATATGACGGGTAAAGCGAAGCGCGCACGCGAAGCTCGACTGGCGAATTCGAGGTCGTACGCTGTTCCGGACAGTGTCCTGGCCGCGGCATCGAAGAGCGGTGAGCTTGATACCACGATATCGTCGGACGCTGACGGCATGACGACAAATCTCGCAAGTATCGGAGCTGCCCAACTGTCTGCCTTGACGGTACGGCTCGACACAGCAGCAAGTGCCCCTGGCACACAAACCACAACGACCTCCGGAACCTCGACGTCTGTGGACCCCAAGGGATACATGACGGCGCTTAACAAAAAGGAAGCTATGGGCGAGGAAGTTCCAGTCGAGGATATCAACCGTGCGCGCGTGTTGCTAGAATCGGCTGTCAAGACGAACGTCCATAACGGTCCGGGATACGTTGCGTTAGCGCGGCTCGAAGAAGTGGCCGGGAAGGTTCACACAGCCAAAAAGGTCATTGCTCGTGGGTGCGAACTTTGTCCCAAATCGATAGTCGTTTGGGAGGAAGCGATCAGGCTGAACAAGGACAATCTTCACAACGCCAAGATCATTGCTGCCAATGGCATCAAGCAGAACCCCAAGGCCGTGAAACTATGGCAAGCTGCGATTGACCTGGAACAAACGCCGGCGTCCAGGAAGAAGGTCACTCGTCAAGCTCTTGACCACAATCCCCAGAGTGTTGAGCTTTGGAAGACCCTCATCAACGATACGGAAGAACTGGATGCGGTCCGCTTACTGTTCGCCAAAGCTACGGATACTGTGCCTCTTTCTGAGGAATTGTGGATTTCATATGCCAGGGTCTCTGAACCGGAAGACGCGCAACAGATTCTCAACAAGGCTCGCAAAGCCATCCCTACCAGTTGGGCAATCTGGATCCATGCTTGCAGGCTACAAGAAGAGCTAGGCAAAGTGGACATGCTGGACATGATCATGACCCGAGCCGTCAAATCTCTGATCAAGGAGAATGCTATGATCAAGCGTGAAGAGTGGCTCTCTCAAGCTGAGATCTGCGAGGAGCAAGGGAACACCGGCACAGCTGCTGCAATCATCAAAGCGACCGTGGGCTGGGGTCTTGACGAAGACGACGAGCGTCGAGACGTCTGGCTCGAAGATGCCAGGAGTGTCCTCAACAGGAATAAGCCGGAAACAGCCAGAGCCATTCTTGGTTTTGCTGTCGCTATCTTCCCATACAGTACGACGGTTTGGCACGCATCCACCGATCTCGAAAAGCATCATGGTACAACAGATACCCTCCTCAGTGTCCTAGAGCGTGCAGTTAATGCCTGCCCTAACTCGGAGTCACTGTGGCTGCAATATGCTCGAGAGATGTGGCAGTCAGGGAACCCTGAAGGTGCCCGCCAGGTTCTGGGTAGAAGTTTCGAAGCTCTACCAGGCAACGAAATGCTGTACACCCGCGCTGTTGACTTCGAGGTCGACGCTGGCAATTACGAGCAGGCACGCAGCTTCTTGCAGATTGCTCGTGAATCAGCTGCTACGGACCGCATCTACATGAAATCAGCCGTCCTCGAACGACAACTGGAGAACTACGAGACGGCGATCGACATCTGCAATCAAGGTCTGCAGAACTGGCCCGGTAGCTGGAAACTACACGCCATAAAGGGGCAAGTCTATGAGCAGCTGTCGAAGCTTCCGGAAGCTCATGAGGCATTCAACATTGGCACACGTGCCGCACCAAAGGCACCCGTCTTGTACATCCTCCTTTCCCGGTTACAAGTCAAGCAAGGTGCAGTCGTCAAGGCCAGATCAACGCTAGACCGTGGCCGACAACAGAACCCAAAGAGCGCCGAGATCCTTCTAGAGCAAGTCCGTCTCGAGCGCCGCGCGAACAACACAAACGCCGCTCAACAGCTAATGGCCGGCGCCCTCCAACAATGCCCCAACTCAGGCCTCTTATGGGCCGAAAAGATCATGCACCTTGAAGGTCGCACCCAGCGTAAACCCCGCGCCCTCGAAGCCATCAAGAAAGTCGAAAAAGACCCCCTCCTCTTCGTCGTCGTCGCACGCATCTTCTGGGGCGAGCGCCGTCTCGACAAGGCCGCAACATGGTTCGTCAAAGCCGTCACCCTTGACAGCGACTACGGCGATGCTTGGGTCTGGTACTACAAGTTCCTGGAACAACACGGCACAGAGGAGAAGAAGGAGGAGGCGCTGAGTAAGGCGGCCATGGCGGAACCGAAGCATGGTGAGATTTGGCAGAGCGTGGCGAAGGATCCGAAGAATGCGAGGAAGAGTGTCGAGGAGATTTTGAAGATTGCTGCGGCGAAAGCGGAGTAGAATGTCGCGGTTGAGGGAATATTGTATCAGTAGGTTTGTTTTTGTAAGATTTTACTATCCCACAGCAATTCCATAAAAATTCCCGGTTTTGTACGCTTTCGAATGCAATTGGCCCTAGTCAGGTGGTAAATCAATATGGGCAGACTCAACTGACGCATATGTCCTAATGCATTCACGACTGCGAGCTCAGTCATTCCAATGAAAAGACGCTTACGTAGTCAAAGCAAACGAGGATATCTCATTCTTCTTGTTGATAGTATCATCAACACGGGTATAACGAAGTCGCGGATAAGCGCAAAAGCAAACCCATCAAAACTCAACTAGAAACTCTCCTTCACACGACAACAATGCGCAAAAGGTGAAAATTGCAACAACTCGTCGTGCTCACATTAGGAAGACGCTCACGTCCTCATCACCTCATCCTTCTCCACAATCTTCTTATCCTCTACACCAGCAGCACCACCCCCACCACCAAGCGGCTCATCAACATAATCCGCATACCCACCCTGCTCATGGAGTTCAAACAGCGGCTCCATGGGCGCGACATCCTGACGCAAGACACGCTTCTTGAGGTACCATGGCAACTTCTTCGTGTAGTAAGCCGCGAACTGGCGGTTACCAACATCAAAGACCGTATCCAGTTCTTCCAGCGTGAGTGCCTTGGTCTCAGGCAAGAGGAAGTAAGCGTAGAAGAAGCCGAAGAAGTTCCAAGCTGCGTACCAACAGAACGCACCGGTTGGTGTGAAAGCGGCCTCAAGGGCTGGCCACGTAAGGGAGAGGATGAAGTTGAAGCCCCAGCAAGTAGCTGTGGCGAAGGACATGCCGACGTCGCGGAGGTGGAGTGGAAATGCTTCTGCGGAGTAGGTAAAGGGCACGGGGCCTTCACCGGGGGAGTAGACGGCCATGAAGACGTAGATTGCGGCGGCGATGGATCCAAGACGTTGCTGGGATGGTGTGCCATCGGGGTTCTCTGGTAGGTAGAAGGATAATCCGCACCAGAGGAGACACAGACCCATAAGAGGGAAGGTCGTAAGCAAAAGGTTCCTGCGGCCGAATGTATCGATGGTGTAGATAGCTGGGATCGCAAAGAGGAAGTTCGTTACGCCGGTGCCCATGGATACGAGCAAAGCTTGGGGTGTGTCAAAACCGGCAGCTTCGAAGATGGAGGTACTGTAGTATGCGATGACCTAAGACTACTGTTAGCGACTGAGATAGCAAGTGAAACCGAGGGATCTGGAGTGCATACGTTGACTCCACAGAATTGCTGCATGAACATGACGAAGAAGGCGCTCTGTGCAGCGCGACGGTTGCGACGGACGATGAAGAATTCTTTGAACGGGTTTCGGCCCTCGCGTTCCGCGTTTTCAATCTCAAGAAGCTTATACGCGTAGTACATGTCGCGTGCGGCTTGGATCTTGTGCGCGCGTAATCGACAAAGTGAGTTGAACGCTTTGTCGTATTTGCCTTTCTCCATGTACCTTTGGTTTAAATTAGCAAGGTAAGGCCAATGGAATGCGAGTCGGAAACTTACCAGCGCGGCGATTCGGGGCAAAAGTATACTTGGACGCAGACAATCATCGGGGGAATACTGGTGGAGGCCAGCATCCACCTCCATGGTGAATTCTCGCCGCCAATGATTGTAACATTCTGAAATGCGACGGAGACGACGAAACCCAGCATGATTCCGAAAGCGGTCCACATTTGCCACATCATGGTGAGGGCTCCACGGATGGTTTTTGGCGCAGATTCGGCAGCGTAGACAGGCGTAGTCGAGGACTTTGCACCGACAGCAAATCCGAGCATGAAGCGCGCGACAAGGAGGTTTGGCCCTATCGTAATCGTCAGATCTTAGTTCATACGTCATTTGGCGAGCTTTTACTCACAGCTATCAGCGGCCGCCATCCAGATACCAGTGATGAAAGAGATGATGCATGAGATGAAGATGGTTCCACGGCGGCCAAAGAACTTGTTCAGGGGTGCGTTGGACCAGCATCCAATGAGACAAGAGCAAAGGTAAGGAGCCCCGTTAAGCAGACCTCGAAGCCACACCTGGTCCGGTCCGATGCCAAACTCTAAGAAGTAGAATCCCTAGACAAGATGTTAGTGGCGGGACGTGATGAGATGGGAACGGCAAAGCAACTGACCTGAGCACCGTTGACAGCTGTCTGATCCATTCCTTGCACAATGGCAGATCCAGCGCAGAGCACAACCAAGAAATACAACATCTTGGGTTGAGACCATCGATGGGTAACCTCGTGTCGGAGCCAGCCTTTCTCTTCGTCGGACAGTTGATTGACGTATTCAAAACCATCGTCTCGTTGACCTACACGAGCAATGAGGGCGCCCTTGCGGAACTCGTCCTGATACTCCTGTAGGCCCTTCTCAACACACCACGCGTCGACGTCGGCTAGGACATGTTCCTCGCTATAACCGGCTAAGGGGTTCCTGAGCTTTGCAGCGACCGAAGCCTTTCGCTGCGGAGCAGCGCCGGCATGTTCATGATGCTGTCCGGCACCAAAGTCGGACTTGTCACTGCCCGATGATGAGAAGTTGGGCTCGGTAGCCTCGATGTCTGGCTTTCGACGAGACATGGTGACGACTGATCTCAAGTATCGCGTCTAGATGGGATCTCCTGGGGGAGTGGAGATGCTGATCGCAAAGTGGAGGAGTAAAAAGACACACGACCAGATGCCTGGGAACCATGACAGGTCGTGTTATATAGGGTATCCGGGGCACAGTTCACACCCACATTTTCTCCATCAAAGAGCGGGTCAAATCCTGCACCAGGGTGACAATCCCCATGTTTTCTCCACACCATCCTTCTCCGTTGCACTGGTTGGCGTATGTAACTATACATCGAGATCAGACACGGGGCGGCCGCGCCGAGACATGGAGTTGTATGTTTACCCAAGACTATCCAAGAAGACATGTCTGGGACGATGTCATTGTGGGCACACGCGCTTGTTGGTTTCTCGGCGGAAGCTAAATCTATACTTGGCAGTGGAGCGCGGCAGGGCGTTCTGGGTAGCCAAGAAAACACGTGAAGTCTCGTCGTAGCTCGCCTGAACATAGTTGAGCGTTCCGACCAATTGGGATTTTGTCGGTAAGGTTTGAGGGAACAACGTTGTGGTGAACGATTACGACGCCACACGACGAGCTTGGCGTCAAGCGGAATCCGCACTTGGCGCAGAACATCTTTACCAGAAATGGCATCCCGTCTTATCGACTATCGGCACCCAGTTCCGGCCTCGACTCAAGGCTGTCAGCGCTCTGCATGTTCAGAAATAATGAGCTTGAAAAAGTAGCGTGGAGAAAGTTTTGGTGGGCGATAGCAAGGATAGTATTCATTGCTGGCTCGTAGGAAAATACGATTGTGACACTTGAAATCTGGAAACCTAGAAAGTGAACAAGAGGTCTGTCTTGGAAGGGTATTGACGAGCCGTGCGAACCGCTGAAAAGCCTGATAAGCCTGAGCTTAGTAGAACACTTCTTTCGATAGTATGAGGCTTCAGTCCACTTGGGCGTGGGTCCACGCGCCGCGCAGTAGCAGATTGTCCATTTCCTTGGAAACCGTCTCGTTCGAGGCCTTGAGCTTTAAATAGTGCTGGCTGGTTTTGCGTTCATCTTCCACCCAGATGTTGCTGCCATTCGGGAACAGGAAGTTGTACCCATTTTCGTTGCCGTACTCGAACCAACTGCCTAGGCCCCTGCCTGCATACACCATTGTCAAAAAGTCCCATGAGTACTCGGAGTGGTTGTAGGACCCCCAGTACTCCCAAGCCGATTTAACTGGGTCATTCGGAGGTCCGCACACAGTAAACCGTGCGCCCGACAGGACTTCGACGCCCACCTCTGCGCCAAGGAAGGTCATCGGAACACAATCGGGCCATGTGTTGATGACGTGTGGAGCGTTTTGAATCGCGAAATTGTACTCCTCATCGATTGCTGGCTCTGGCGAGTAACCGCCGCCCATCACCACTAGCTCCTTGACCTTTGCCTTGACAAGCTCGTATCCATCCAACGCGGAGTATTTATCGCTAGTTGTGTTGAGAAGACCAGACAACGATCCCATAAAACCAATCGACACGACAGTCACACTGTTGTTCTTCGCTTCCGATAGCGTCTTCCGATAGAGCTCTACTGGATCCCAAGTCTTATTGACCTGACCATTGGGCACCGAGCCGCCGGACCATCCAGCAGCGACTTTGCTCGCGTATTCTCCGCCGAATGGTTCGGGAGATGTGATGTTTGTGTAGGGTCTGGGCAGCCCAATCGGGACGGAGGAATAGCCGTAGTGGTTCACGATGGCTGACGCTGCGTAGGCAGAGTATGTCGAATTGACGTTGATGTTTACGGCGAGGAGGTTTGTATTCGGCAATGTGCACGCCAGGAGTAGGGCTGCGGTATCACTGTTCCACTGTCAGCCAAACGTTCAGATTTACGTGGTACAGGATACCTACTCGATGGCTTCAAAAAGATCGGCATCCACAAACAGATTCTTGGTCTCTGGTGTTACACTCGACGCGACTGAGATGGCAAGTGACAAGACTGCCAGCCAACAGGGCAGCGCGAAACGTAGAATCATGGCGTCGCAGGCCCAAGGCGATGGAAGACAGGAAAAGAGACCGGAGAATATACAGAAGCTAGCAAGAGGCGTAGGCTTGCGAATGTGGCGGGATTCCACGGTGTACAAGGAGGAAATTCTTAACCTTTGAGTCTACTTGAGTACTGCAGTGCGACGCCCCGCCATCGGATCTCCACAGTGAAAGTCTTCGGCGATTAACGGCAGTTCTCGAATTCTTCATGGTACAGTAGTGCGCAGATCAGATCGAATGAAATGTCGCGATCGTGGTGCACAGCATGCGGCGTGCGATAAGGGCGTGTATAAGGGTTTGTCGCGTTTAGGCATCTCGGTGTCATCCCGGACGCGCAATGGAGGCGACCTAGGATGTCTTCTCCTCGTTCTCTTCATTGCGCTCTTGCTGTGGTACTGTGATGCC